TACCCAACCCACCAACCATCTCCTCCCTACCCGCAACCCACAAACCCACTCTCACTCCTTTACCAGAGGCCACAACCACTCTCACTCCTACCAACCGCGACAAACCCACTCTCACTCCTTACCCAAGCCCAGCAACCCGACAATCGGTCACTCCTGACCAGCAAGGCCACAACACACTCTCGACTACCTTAGCGGGGAGGGAGGGAGGCAAGCCCCACAGCCGACTCTCAACATCTTACCCAACACAAGAACCGGCAGTCTCACTCCCTACCAACCCACAAACGCCACTCTCACTTCCTTACCACACAAACCACACTCTCAACTGCCTACCCAACCCACAATCACACTCTCACGGATCCCTACCGCGACCCACAAATACCCACTCTCACTCGTGCCACCCAACCCACAAACCCACTCTCACTCCCTACCCAACCCACAAACCCACTCTCACTCCTACCCCAACCCACAAAACCCACTCTCACTCCCCTTACCCAACCCACAAAACCCCCACTTCTCACACTTCCCTTACCCAACCCACAACCCACTTCTCAACTCCCCTACCCAACCCACAACCCACTCTCACTCTTACCCCAAACCCAACAAACCCACTCTCACTCCTTACCCACCACAACCCACTCTCACTCCCTACCCAACCCACAACCCCACTCTCACTTCCCTACCAACCCACAACCCACTCTCACTTCCTTACCAACCCCAAACCCACTCTCACTCCCTACCCAACCCACAAACCCACTCTCACTCCTTTACCCAACCCACAACCCCACTCTCACTCCCTACCCAACCCACAAACCCACTCTCACTCCTTACCCAACCCACAAACCCACCTCCACTCCCTTACCCAACCACAACCCACTCTTCACTCCCTACCCAACCCACAAACCCACTTCTCCTTCCCTACCCAACCCACCCAAACCCCACTCTCACTCCCTTACCAACCCACAAATCCACTCTCACTCCCTACCCAACCACAACCCACTCTAACTCCCTACCCAACCACAAACCCACTCTCACCTCCCTACCCAACCCACAAACCCACTCCACTCCCTACCCAACCCGCACAAACTCACTCTCCACTCCGCTACCCAACCCACAAACCCACTCTCCACTCCCTTACCAACCCAACAAACCCACTCTCACTCCCTACCGACCCACAAACCCACTCTCACTCCTTACCCAACCCACAAACCCACTCTCACTCCCTACCCAACCCACACAAAACCCACTCTCACTCGCCCTACCCAACCCACAAACCCCACTCTCACTCGCCTACCCATACCCACAAACTCCCACTCCCACTCGTGCACCCCAAAACCCATCTCAACTCCTTACCCACCCAAACCCACTCTCACTCCCTACCGACAAAGACCTCACAAACCCACTCTCACTCTCACCCTACTCACTCAACCTACAACCCACCTCAACCCACAACCCACTCACTCCCTACCCAACCCACAAACCCACTGCTACTCCATACCCAACCCACAAACCCACTCTCACTCCCTACCCAACCCACAAACCCACTCTCACTCTCACCCTTACCCAACCCACAAAACCCACTCTCACTCCTACCCAACCACAAACCCACTCTCACTCCTACCCAACCCACAAACCACACTCATCAACTCCCTACCAGTCAACCACAAACCCACTCTCACCTTCCCTACCCAACCCACAAACCCACTCTCACTCCCTACCCAACCCACAAACCCACCAGTTCAAACCCACCTTAAGCCCATGGGCATTACGTGTTATAATGGCATGGTACCGAGCCGTAAGATTGAACAGGTGTCTTCTCCACTCCGCCAAGACGATACGGCTGAGGAGACCCAGCTCATCGTCCGTGGGCAGCTGCACTCCGCGACTCAGCTGGAAGGAGAGCAGCTGATAAAAAAGCTGGAGGGGGTGTCAAGATGTTAGAAATGTTGGAAATGTTAGAAATGTTAAAATGTTAAAATGTTAGAAATGTTAAAAATGTTAGAATGTTAAAATGTTTGGAGAGTTGATGGTCTTGTGTTAAAAAAGCTGGAGGGGATAAGATGTTAGAAATGTTGGAAATGTTAGAAATGTTAAAATGTTTAAAATGAATGTTTAAAATGTTTTGGAGAGTTGATGGTCTTGTGTAAAAAAAGCTGGAGGGGATAGAAGTTAAGAAATGTTGGAAATGTTGGAAATGTAGAAATGTTAAAATGTAGAATGTTAAAATGTTTGGAGAGTTGGTCCTTGTGTTAAAAAAGCTGGAGGGGATGTCAAGATGTTAGAAATGTTAAAATGTTAAAATGTTAGAATGTTAAAATGTTTGGAGAGTTGATGGTCTGGTGTTAAAAAAGCTGGAGGGGGATAAGATGTTAGAAATGTTGGAAATGTTAGAAATGTTAAAATGTTAGAATGTTAAAAATGTTGGAGAGTTGATGGTCTGTGTTAAAAAGCTGGAGGGGATGTCAAGATGTTTAGAAATGTTGGAGAATGTTGGAAATGTTAAATGTTAGAATGTTAAAATGTTGGAGAAAAAAGTGTGTCAGATGTTAGAATGTTGAAATGTTAGAAATGTTAGAATGTTAAAAAAATGTTTGGAGAGTTGATGGTCTGGTGTTAAAAAAGCTGGAGGGATGTCAAGATGTTAGAAATGTTGGAAATGTTAGAAATGTTAAAATGTTAGAATGTTAAAAATGTTTGGAGAGTTGATGGTCTGGTGTTAAAAAAGCTGGAGGGGATGTCAAGATGTTAGAAATGTTAGAAAAGTAAAACTGTTAAAATGTTAGATGGAGATGGCAGGGTCTTAAAAAAGCTGGAGTTGAAGTGTTAGAAATAGAATGTTAAATAAAAAAAAATGTTTGAAATGTTAAAATGTTAGAAATAGAATGTTAAAAAGGACTATTCTGCGACTCAGCTGGAAGGAGAGTGGCCGTTAAAAAGCTGGAGGGCGAGTTGGAAATGTTGGAAATGTTAGAAAAAAAATAAAATGCTAGAAATAGAAAAAATAATGTTAGAAAAAATAAAATGTTAGAAATGTCAGAAAAATCAAAATGTCAGAAATGTTAGAAAAATTAAAATGTTAGAAATGTTAAAATGTTAGGAGAGTTGATGGTCTGGTGTTTAAAAAGCTGGAGAGGGAGTAAAGATGTTAGAAATGTTAGAAATATGAAAAAACAGAATGTTAAAAAGGATTATTCTGTCTCCGCGACTCAGCTGGAAGGAGAGTAGCTGTTAAAAAAGCTGGAGAGGGAGTCAAGATGGTAGAAATGTTAAAATGTTAAAATGTTAGAAGGTGAGTCGATGGTAGGTTGTTAAAAAAGCTGGAGGGAGTCTAGATGTTAAAAATGTTATTAATGTAAAAATAGAAATGTTAAAATGTTAGAAATAAAGGTAATAAACATCAAAATCATCAATTAAAGAATTAACAGTGAAACCAAATATTATCTAACACTCGTTATCCTTTGATTAAAAGTCAATAGAGAAATCAAGAAATTAAAACAACCATTAAACATTATTTGGCAAACGACAGATTAGCAGTTTCGCGAATCCTATACCATCCATAGTGGAACTGTTTGCAAATTGTCAGTTATCATTCGCAAATTGAAGTTAATTACAGCTGCTTACTAATTGCAAGGCGAGACAATAACAAGCTCTTAATAACTTACTGAGTTATTAAGCTAATTGTTATTATCTAGGAAATGGCGGCAGATTGGCGAAGTGAGTAATTGTTGTCAAATTAAGAGCGAATTTGATCTTAATTTTCGTTAGGAAAATTGAGCTAATAAAATAAAGAAAGATAAAAGATAGCATGAAGGTGATGACAATGAAAAGAAAGTAAACAAATTTGGACAAAAAGAAGAAAAAAATTATATAAACCGATATGGACAAAAAATAAGAACAATGAAAAAACGAAAGAAAAGAAAAACATAATTTAACAGAGAAAAATATGGAGGTGAAAAATGAAATGAAAACAAATAAAACAAAACAAAACACACAAAGAAAAAGAAAAAGAAAAAAATAGATAAACAGCGAATATAATGTAAACAATTAAAAAAAAAAGAATGAAGCATTATATAAACATGCAAACACACAATGCAAATTAATATACAACATATAAAAACACACATAAAAGACGAGAGAGAGAGAGAGAGAGAGAGAGAGAGAGAGAGAGAGAGAGAGAGAGAGAGAGAGAGAGAGAGAGAGAGAGAGAGAGAGAGAGAGAGAGAGAGAGAGAGAGAGAGCAGAGGCAGAGGCAGAGGGAGAGAAATAGAGAGAGAAACTGACAAATGGACAGTGAGAAAGAAAGACGGAGGGAGACACGAACAGACAGGCAGAGACAAACAAATGAACAGACACACAACCAGCCAGAAAGAGAACCCGAAGAAAAAGAAAAAGAAAATATACCAAAAACAAAACACAAACAAAACGGACCAAGACAAACACACAATAATAAAATATATATCAAATAAAATAAAAAAAAAAAAAAAAAATCCCCCCCAAAAAAAATCACGCAAACAAAATAAATAAAAATAAAATAAATAACCCCCCCTCCAAAAAAAAAAAAGAAAGAAAGAAAACGGACCAAAACAAACACGAAGCCCCGCCCTCACCTCGAAGGCCCGGAGCGCATTCTGCATCCTCTGCGACGTGAAAATGGCCGCTATGATCGCCTCCTGACTCTTCTCGAGGAAGATGTCCAGCGACGCGTTGATGACCCTCTCGACCAGTTCCTTCCGCGCCTCCATCATGGCAGGATCCCGCGGCGCCCCTGGGAGTTGGACGGTGTTGGGGACGTTGAGCACTTCCGGCTCGGTGGACCCTCGGGCTTCCAGCTGGTAGGGGGTAGGAAGGGGGGGGGGGGTAGTTTAGGATGAGTTTTTTTTTTTTTTTTTGCTGCGGGGACTTTTTAAGGATTTTCTTTTTGGACGAAGGAATACATATATGTTCACGTAAATACATTTTTTTAAAGGATTTTTTTGTCGTGTAAAAATATACACTAATGAGTA